AATGGTCAAACACACCTGGGTTGTTTGTTAAGCCCTTACAAGTTATAATTTTCACTATGTCCTAAAACCCTCTAAACTCCAAACTCTAGTCCAAAAGTCTCTGGCTATCCGCCGGATTCTGGGAACCCGTAACTGTAGACAGCACATTCGTCTTGTTGCTTCCGAGGCGCCAATGCGTGGAGCGCCCGACGTTGGATGGGGCTGGTGGGTTCCGGGCTGGGGTTGCAGGAGCCACGGGGCTTCTCGCCTGCGAAGGTGCCCAGACCATGGAACCCAAAACACAAAACGCCGTTTTGTTAGACATTCCTCGAAGCACTTTCGCATTTAGTACCCATTCTGTTCAGGGATCCTTCTCTCGGAAATCGGCCCAAAACCTACGGGACAGACAGTAGATCAAAGTCAAAACCAGCCATTGGGATGGTGGATTGGGAATGGGCACGAGCCTACTCGTTGCGCAACCCTAAGTGGACGTGGGGACCAGTTTTTAGACCCAATTCTGACAAACCCTCAACAAAAGAAAGACGGCCATGCTCAGTTCCCGCCTAAAGAGGGGGTACAATGATCATTAACTGATGTGTTTGGGTCTTGGGAATTCCACTTAAGGTTGATCCTTAACACATCAGTGACACCTAACTCCGAGACAAAGCATCTGCAGTGGGGGGTGCAGTTGGCATGAACTCCACGGACAATGCCACATCCAGCCACATCTAAAAATTATACATCTCATACTCATGGTTGAGCATGAACCCTGATGGCGACAACTATGCACAAACCGGATTCAAGGCATCTCCGGGTCTTTGCAAGTACCGGACCATCACCCAGCTCTGCCCCGGCCAAAAACCTGGGCTGCCGGCTCGGTGAGAGATCCTCCTCAGTGAAGCGAACGGCGCTCTGGCGAGGTCGAGGCAGCTTGGTGGCAGCCTGCGCGCGACGCGCGGTTTGGCCTGGCGAAAGCCAGCGGCTTCCCAAAGCAATGTCTTGTATGGTCATTCAGTGGGCTTGCTTGATCGTTGCTTGTCCATTTCGTGCTCCGGTGTGGACAAATGGCAACGGAGCCCACGAGGTCTTTTGACGCGCCTCCGAGTCCGGGAAGAAGCTCGGAGACCTGCATGCGACACCGGAAGGGAAGAGGGGGGATGTTGGGCCAATTAAACTACTATTGTCTGAACAACATCTTTTCTATGCTTAGCTTGACCTCGTATTCTCCCGAAAAGAAAATGGAACAAAAGGACCCTCCCACCACTTTCTTGACAAGCCCATGAAAGAAAGAATTATTCAACACCCAGCATTTCCCAAAGCCCACTCTCCAACATCACCAACCCCCGCGTGCCCGACCGAATCCGCAACCCCCCCCCACGGCAACAAAAAGACAACGACAAAACAAAGGACACCCCCGACACCCCGGCCTGCACGCCGGGGTCTTGGGCGTCTTCGGGGTCCGGCCCTTCTTGGGCGACACAACGCTCCTCGAGGTGGGGGAGGTCGGCCCAAGGATCGAGTTGGCGGAGGCCTGGCAAACCCAAGGCCCCCAGCATGTCACAGCTCATGTTCATGTGTGCTAGGTATGTTTGTGTGTAGATGCATGTGTAGGTGTGTGTATATATATATATACATATGTGTGCAGCTTATGTATATATATATATATATGTTATATTTAAAAAAGAAATAACATTACGTGTATATGTGTAAGCAGATGTACGCATTGCGAAAGCTGCTTTCGGCACATGTCTTGTCTTGGGGTTTGATTGCTTCGATAGGCTCGAATCAACCTTGACATGGTCCTGGATTGGCGGGACTGCTTCAAATTGTGTGCCACTGGGAGGCTTGCCTACCTATCACGGATACCAAAAAACAACACCGGGGAGGTAAAGGCTTCTTGGAAGGTTTGGAGATTTAGTATCAATGTTCCCGTTGACAAGTCCGTCCCCAAATTGCCAGTGTACCTCACCCTAGATCAACACTTGTCCATGGCGAGTAGGTTTACCTGAAAACATCCGAAGCGAGGTACCCGTCTGCTTGGATAGCGGTGGGCAAGCCCAAAGCCCTAGTGGTCATCCTCCACCCGGAAACAGCACTTACAAAGGGGAAAGGTCGAAGCAAAGCAAAGAGTTTTGACGTCCCTTTTTTGGTCACTTTTGCCCTTGCCCCGCCTGAGCCATGCACCGCAAGGACAGTGCCATTGCGTCGGGGTAGGTTCTGAATCTGCGAGGCTTGTGCAGCAGAGACTCCAATGTCTGCGGGCATTCGCAACGGAGCTGGTTTTCTGGATGGCGTCTCAAAATGGCAGGCTTTTTGGGGTAGAGGGGTCCTAACCGTCCTAACATCTCCCCTGTTTTTCATCTCATTTGGCGCCCCTCTAATGGCCCAAGCCAAACGAAGTCATTCATGTGTCTTTGTTGCGCATTCGAAATGAATACTTTGGGCACTACCCCTCGGCACATAACAAATGTGATACTCATGCCACGCAAGATGCGCTGACTGGCACAATTGAGCATGGCGACACATGGGGGTAGATCAAAAGGTCTACCCCTCGCGCCACAGGAGCTATGGGTTTTAACCTTGCTGTTATCCTATTCAAAGGTTGTGCCACCAGACCCCTGGAACATAGCCCTTAAGTTATTAAGGACAAGCCAAAACTTGGAACATGTGCGGGAGAAATAGCTCTAAATATGGCTTCTGCTCAACCGTCATATTCCTTCCTTGGGGTTTAATCTGAGAGTCAGTGGAGAAGTATTTGACCTATTGAACTGCAAAACTTCATTGAATTCAGCAAAAATGAGCAACGGCGGTATTGACAGAAATTCATTTGGGTAGCCCCCTGCTTTTGGGAAAGCAAACAGCACCGACGTTGTGCGCAACAACATTGTCCAGGGCTTGGTTAGCGGCATTTCCATAGGGAAACGAGACGGGTGCTCTACGTGGATTGGATATGAGTTACAACTGGGGACTCTTTGGTGGACATCCTTTACATTTTTAACATGGGGATGTATGGAGGGCATTCCGCATCAACCAGTGACAGCAAAGCAGTTTGGCAAAGCAACGAAGCCGGCAGGCCGAGGGGCGAGTTGGGCCATGGCGCTTCGCCAGGTGTGAAGGTGAGAAGTGACCTTGATCGATCTTTGATTCTTCTGAGAAGTAATACCTGGATCTTTGGCATGGACGTTTCAGCAAATCCGGGGCACGGCTGGATGTGCCCCTCTCTGCATGCGGGCCTGCAATGCCTGCAAAATTTGAAAACCTAAGGGCAGTGCGTGGTTGGATTCCTTGCTTTTTGCTGACCTTTGTGTTCTCTTTGACTCATATCCCATGGCAGGCTTGAGAACAGGAAGCGCGCAGGAAGCCCCATATAAGGTACCCATTGGCTATATCTCCAACCTCACAAAATATGATGTTGAACAGCAAAAACAGAAGGAAATCCAAGGGATCTGGCAATCACTTCCAATGGAAAGAGAAAGCAACCCCAGCTCGGGCGAGTTGAAACCCTGCGCTTCCATTTACCACCATTGGACCCGGCCACCTGGGAAATTGCTGTGAAAACTAGACTCAAAATGGCAAACCCGAACGCGCAAAAAAAAACAGAAGCTTTCAGCACAGACTCAATCATACCCACTTCCCACATGCTCCAAGTGATAGTGAAAATTGAACAGGCTATTTGCACCCATGACCCAACGGTGGCCAGTGCAGTAGTACACGCATTGTCATCAGCTCAAAACCATGCGCAGAACGCGCCGTCAACGACCTGCGACATGCGAAACTTGATCTGCGCCTTTCTTGTCCTTTCCTCGTGGTGCTCGCATTTCCGCCGCCTGGCACATGAGCAAAGCCAACTGACCAGACCGCACTTTGTGCACCAAAGCGTTTCCAGAAGGAAGAGAAAGATCAGCGCTGACATGGACCTTAAACATCCTTCAAGCTAGCTTGGTCTTGCTGTCCCCACAAGCGCCAGGCCAATTTCATCCTCGTTTCGTCCTGCCGCTGCACTGTTCCACGATTCCCTTTCGAGCTGCTCTCTTCCATTCCTTTTCTGGACCCCTTCAAGAACCAGTCCACTTAAAAAAAAAGGATACCAAAAAGCTCGGCCACGGTCGGATGTTTCGCAAGTCTAAGCCCACCCGAGGAGCAAACGGCCTCCTCCAACTGCTGGAGAGCTGCGACGGCATACAACTTGCAAAGGGCAGCGCCCACCTGGCGTTTCGCTCGTTTCAGTTCGGACGTTATATACATATATATATAATATATATATATATATCATAGCCATGGACCTTGGTGTTTTCCTGAGTTCGTTGGACTTCTCTTTGTTGCCCCTCTCTCTTCTCCTTGTTCTTTCTTACTATGGCTCCCTGCGAAGGATGCTGCCGATTCTCGCTAGAGGACTACCAAAATTAAGGCAAAGGGGAAACATAGGAGGCCTTAGCGTTGACCCATTTTCCCCAGTTGTAAGATGCCATTCGTTTTGGGGGTAGAAGCTGCTCTGTGGGTATAATGGCCGCCAGCAAAACGAGATGAAGGGACTTCATTTCGACGGGGATCACAGCATAGGCTGCCGGCTCGAGTATGTCGGCATGATGAAATATATACATGATACATGTATATACATACATGTATTGTATAAAGCGAGACCTCATCTGTTCAAATGTGTGGTAGACCCTAACGGAACCTCATGTCCTCATTTGGCAGGAACATGAAGGGGTTCCTTAAGAGTTTTAAAACTCACAGGTAGGGGGTGCAAGACCAAGGTCTCCGCCTTCCGGCACGCTTTACGCCCGCGCAGCAGTCAAAGCATCCCAACTGGGCGCGCACACTTCCTGTACAGAGTACGTGTGCACATTGCCGGACAGTGCCAGAGCGCCGCTGGAAAGTGCGGCAATGGCCAGCGGCGCATCTAGGCGCGCGTTTAGATCAGGTTTCCTCACTTCCTGAGTGGATTTGCCAAACGGTCTAAACCGGTCTTCCCAAGAAGTTCAAAGTCCAGGAACTCAGAAAGTGAGTTTCTATGCACTTCAGGTGGTCCCTTCGTCCATCCAGCGCTTGAGCTCGTCCCTATCCTGGCAACTCCATGGGTGGGTCGTTTTTGGGTTATATATTATGGGGCTGTTCCAAAGATAAATCAAAGAGATGCGGCATATTTTGAGGGATCGCAACTTTTTTGTCCAAACATCCTTCTGCAAGGCGGGCCCCAATGAGGGGTCAAGGCTTTGAGTCTGCCATCCAAGGAGTGACCAGGCCCTTCGAGGCCTCTCATCCATCAAGTGGCTTGTCGATTATTCGTCCAATTGCCACGCCCAGAAAAGAACAAACAACTCAAAAGGAACCGCTTCGACGGGCCCGTTTAAGGGGCTGAGTGCTGGCATGTACGCCGGGTGGATTCCGTAAATATTACTAGTGAACCAGTGACATGCAATTTGCGGCAAACTGCTGGGTGTCCAACTTGATCGCCTACTAACCACCATAGCACCTTTGTCTGGACTTTGTCGACCCCGGATTTTCTCTGGATCTCCCCAGTTCTCCTCCATTCTCAGCCTTCCTTGCCGGGTCCAGCCGAACACTCGCCCGGAGGGGAAGACCGTGTCTGGGCAGTCCCTTGCAACGAGCTGCGCCAGCTGCCAGGGCTTTGAGCGCAGAAACCGGCTTCTTACAGGGGGCCAAGCCGGTACAACAAGGAGAATCATATTCAAATCACCCAACAAATGCTTGAGTTACACCCACAAAAGGAGGGGAACCAGTCAACCCACATTCCAAGGATCTTGACCGGCTTGTAATGCACTCAAAGGCTTGTCACCTGTTGCAAAGGGAAAACTCTAGCCCTTTGACATGCAACGAGCGTGAGCCGCTTTTTTACCATTGAAAGCAAACGAGTGATATCATCTATGAAGGAGTGCTTTCAATCCCAAAAAACGGATCCCCCCTATCCCTAGTCTCGCGCACGCCCACACAAACCCAGAAATGCTGTGCGAATACCTGTATGCATTGCTCCCTCTACTATGCCTCGGCATAAGACTTGCTTTGCGTGCACAGCCTCTCAGCATCGGACATTCCAGTTTGGATCCACTCGATATAGGCCTCAGCAACAGCAAGCACAGCTGGTAGCCAAACCATGGCATTACCGGGATTTGCTCGACAGGCCCGTTATGCCTCTTCACGTTCATATTGTGCGCGATCATTTTCGAGCACTGGCCTTGTGGAATGGCCTGGCAACTGTGCCTCTGGTTGCCTCCAAAGTCGCAACTCGCCGGAGGCGAACTCCGTGGAATGGAACTGGCCTGTTTTCGAGTGCCAAGCAAGTAAGCAACCAGCCAACCAGAAAGACAATCAAGCAGTGCACCACCAAACAAGCAACATGTTTACCAGCACTAGCCAACAAACCGGCAACAGCTAGTTTGCCACGAAAAAGAACCAATGGCACACACGTGCCTTTTCTTCTAGCCAAAAAACAACCTCGATTGAAATACGGCCGGACCAAACCGATTTCCTAACCTTGACCAAATTCGGGTATATACCGTTGCTAGTGGCTCGTACCTCAGAGAAAATCGTTTAGTGTACTGTATTTGTTGGCTCTATAGTGGTTGCAGAAAATGTCGCTTTTGTCTTCCCTGGAGCAATAAGGTCCCACGCCAGCGCCGGCACGAAGCCCATCTCCAGCATCTCCCCCCCCGCACCGTCGATGGTGCGCCGCACCTGCGGCAAAGCCCGCGAAACCCGGTTTTAACCCCCGGCGAAACGAAGGGAAGCTCCCCAATTTTAGGACCTCCCCGTAGCGTTGACTTGACTTGATGGTGCGATGGGAATGACCGTGCCGAGTGTTGGGAATGAACCGGAAGGGGATTCCCTGAAAGGAAACCATAGGGGATGGTTTATGTCTTTCCTCATTCTCTGCTGAGAACCAGCAAGATGAGTGTGGATTGAATTTGGGGCTGCAAAGGACTTCAGGGTGATTTGTGTCCACCAACCACTTGTGCACTAGTTAATTCTGAGCCACATGGGAAACCGACATGAGGTTGCACTTGTCTCACCCCTAGCGCAACCCCGAGTTTAGATACAACTTGACGGGCTGTCGGAATCGAGTCGCCAACCTGCTGCAAGCCGGGATCTTCACACACCACCTGGGCTGTTTGACTGTACCTGTCGCCATAAGGACTATACTAAGTCATGAAGGAGGTGCCAACCAAAATCAGTATATTATACACGCTATATGGGTTGTACAGGGGCCAGGGTACATACCCCAAACACCACTCTTGCATGTGGCTAGGTGGGGTGTGTCCATGTGGTAGATCCATGTGTTTGCCGATCCCCATCCCAGGCCTTTTGTGCCCACACCACGTGAGCTTGGGAGAATCATTGGAGAAATCCTGCGATTTGCAGAGGTTGGGCGTTGGTGCTTGCAATCATTCTTCAAGGAAATCGACCAGACTGTTTTCCCGTTGGACAGTGTAAGCTCCCGGCCCGATGCGTGCATTCTTCTCCCCACTTTCTGGTGCAGTGCCAGCAGAAGCAGTGCCTGCGATGATTCGCCATATGCCACTCCAAAGATCCTAAGATTGTCCTACCTTGGAGAAGTAGGGCTGCCAGTTTAATTCATGGGTCGAGACAGAAGCATCTGTCAAAATGATTAAGAGATACAAAAAAAAAGAAAAGGAATGATATATGAAAAGATAACAGATTAATAAGATGCAAATAAGAAGATAATAATAATCACATGTCAAGATACGACCATGACCATAACCATAAGATAGAAAGTTGTCTACAGGAAATTGACCACCTATCCAAATAAAAGAAATGCAGATTCAGAAACTACAAGCACAAATACAAATCAATAAATCTAATAGATGTAAATATTATAAAATCCAATGAAGGTGAGAGATGAAGTAAATAAGACAATGATTCCTGCATTTTTATTTGGCACAGCTTTTAACATAGCATATTGGCATAAGAAATACCACTCAGGTACTATATGTAGTAATCCACATGGCTTCTAATGCATTATCTGGATGTGAGAAAGAAGAGAACCCGAAGGTAATTTGAAGAAGATATGTATATATAATATATATTTATATACACAAAGAATTAGTTTCTTTCCATAGAAATATTTACTAATAATGAAAGGACAAAAATGCTATTTTATGATTCCTATCCCCACACCTAGACTGCCTGCTGCGGCACCTGCACTCGCAAAACTCGGCAAATGAACCCTTCAAAAACTTGATGTGGTGGAATCACAAGTAAGTGGCTCGCCATTTGATGTGGAAGAATGCGCAGCTTCTGCACATGCGTGTGTTTTTTTAGGGGGCCCCCAAAACTCGAGCGAGGGCAGGGTGCGTGCCTGACCCTTTTGGCCCTTTCGAGCGCGAGCTCCACCGGAAAGGCCCCGACCACCGGCAGTCTGGGGCCCAGGCCGGTGCGCATAGGAGATTCCAGGCCATTGCTTGCATCCGTCCTCGTGCACCGCGAAGGTCATGAGGCCTCAAAAGCTTGATTCGAGCAAGTCTTGGTTATGCTACCGTAGCCCGTTGGAATACACCAACCACCCAAACTGACCTAAACCACAACTGGAAAAACTGAACATCTGGAGTGTGTGTGTGTGTGTGGTCGGATCTATTATCAGTAAGTTGTCGGCTAATGGTTTGTTGCAATCCAGCGTCGAAACTCAAGTCAGTGGCCAATTATGTGAGCTCGATCTAGCGAGAAGCGGCCGGCCTTCTTGCACACACTCCGGGCACAGGCGAAAGCGCCGCAGTGACAAGGAATCGTATCCGCAACCTCAGTCCCATGGCAACAGGCAGAAACGATTCGGGAGATCCACTCCAAAGCCCAGACATGCCCAGGAAGTGCGCATGGGCCGCATCCATTGGCGGCTTGCGAGTGACAAGTTGGAACTCAGCACGCGTGAAGCTGCTGTTTCATCTGCATGTGCTCGAAAGGTATTGACTGAATACATCTTGACCCATGTCAAGAATCACACAAGCAAGAAGCCTCGATCTATTATGATGGGCACAAAATCCATCAGGGCTAGCACATGCCATGCTCATTCAATTTCTTTCTGGTGGGATGATTCACAGGTTGGTTTCCAGTCGCAACCAGAGGCAGCGGCGGTTGGTATAGTACTCCGGGTGCGATAGGATGTTCCTGGGTTTGTCGCAAGGGCAGCGGTTTCCTCCCTTCTAAAAACGAGCACCCTTCTAGAAAACACCCTGCTAGTTTCTCCCCGGCCTTTGTACATCCACCAAAGGAGTCTTAATTAATCAAGCTGCACAACTGGGGCCCAAAACCTTGCTCGATCTCGGGATGACCCATCTAACATGGAATCCAAATGACTTTGGGGGGAAGCACCCCGCTCATTCGTCCAATGGGTGGGTGGATGTGGAGTCAACATTACCCAGAGTGTCCGTCGCGCAGAACATGTCCACTGCTTTGAGGGATGCCATCGGTCTATGACGGCCGAATGCTCCCCTTCAGATCAACATGACACCTGTTGTTTGACTCTCCTTGTTGGGCTTTGCATTTGACCTTTTCTGCTAGGAAAAGGATGGATGCGATGAAATACTGTGTCAGCAAGGGGAGCCATTGCAGCCTAATAGTGAAGATTGCGGGTCACGAAGTCATGAAGCAATTCAAGCGCCATGACCTTCCCACGACTCGCCTTGCCATGGCTCCGAATCCGTATTGAATATCATGAAGAATCTTTGTGAAGGGCTGACTCTTGGCCTTTGTTTCAGAAAATATCGATCTCCTCCAACAGCTTGGGAACCGGTTCCTTTTCTCCTGTGTGAAAGGTGAATCCTCTAATAATATACCCGCCCAATGCCTTGTGCTGACGTTACCAAAGCAAACCTGGCAACTTCACTTGAGACCTCAAGGGTTAATGGCCATCCCTGCTTCCCCCAAGCCAAGCTCAACAGTCCTGTTCACCTCGTTGATCTCTTCTTGGCTTGGCAATACGGAATTCCTGGCACAGCAACACACTCGCTTGAATGGAATAGCGAGCACATTTGCGAGTTCTCCTTCAGACTTTGTGTTTCGGTTCAACTCAGCATCTAACGAATCTATTATGTAGGGTGCCATTCGCTCTTCATAGCGAAAAGAGAGCTTGGCATGCCGGACATCTTGTCAAGCAATAATATTAATGAGAATGTCCACGTCTGCCGGTTTCCTGCTTGAGCGACCAAGCCTTGTACCAAAGACCACAAGCAGGGCCTCAAACACCGAGAAGGATCCTCCTGATTTCTTCCTTTCATTGGCGTCAACTCACATGAGCAACTGTCAAAAAGCCTCTGATACGAACTGAGGCAACTGGTCGCTGATTCCCTCAATCCACTTCGAAATACCTCCAGGCTAGAACCCTTCAACCGCAAAAAGCCTCCACCTTGTGCAACTTTTTGCCCCCGTTCACCCAAATACCCCCCAAAGATCCCCAAACAGAAGCCTCCAGCCAATCCCCGCCTGTGCCCGGCTTTGCAGGTCCAGCTGTACAGGCCCCGGGATCGGTACCTCGTTCCACTACGCGAGGGGCAGAGGGAGGCGGTCTTGGTTGCTGTTCCCTCTCACAAACTCTAAACTGTTGTGGGTCCAACGCAGAATCCACTGATTCCGAAAAAGTTGCAGTCAAGTAGCCATACAGTGGTTGAAGGAGTCCCTTCGTTGCAAAAGGGCAAAGCGGAAATTTGAGGCCTGCAGAAAGTGGCAAGCGTGGAAGAGCTTCCTGGGGATTAACATTACACAAACTCCACGAAGCAACATGAAGCGACCACATTCCTTCACCACGAGCCGCAACAAGCAAATAAGCTACCTTGCTCCTGCTGCTCACAAATGCCAGAGTCAAGGCTCCTCAGCACCAAATGCGGGTGGTCCAGTGGATTTAACAAGCAAAAGGTAGGGAAGACATCATGAGACATCTCACCTCCCCCACATCCCAGCCTTCCCCCGTTTGGTGACATCGAGTTCTCTCAAAAGCATCACCAGATCACAGAATTTTTGGGGCACTGATCCTCGAAGTCGACCCTGGCGAAGTGAAGCAGAGCAGGCAGGCCGGTTAAACAATACAAACACTTTACACCCCCGCACGCCTGTAATCTGTTCATGACCAACATCACTATATCGGATTTAGTGAATCTGGCACCATGATTTCAGCAGTTCAGAGGGCATCCTCAACTATGGCTTGGAGGGCTCTATACTGGCAGCCAACTTTGCCCAACGGAGCAAACGAAGGATGCACCCAGTGCTTCGAAAGGACCAAGAGGTCTTGAACGAACAGCCCTTTTGCCAGGAGTGTATTTAGGGTTCGCACGGCACAAACCTGGGCGAATGATGGTAACATTTAACCCGCCAACCCCAAAGAAGGCATTCCCACGATTGAAACCTTCCTCATGGCAAAGATTCGCAATCATCCTTTATCCCTAGACTTCCAAAGGGCATTCAATAAATGGCCGAGGTGGTAATGTACATTTTCTGGGAAAAGGCTATGGTTTGCTTAAATTTGGTTGGATCATGATGTTCACGAAAATCCCACTTAGCAGTAGCTGGAAGGGGCTGCACAGTCCCATTTTGCCGAGCTTGAGAGTGCTTCGTGCGCTTCGCATTGCCTTCTGCAGAAACTTGCCAACGTCAGCCACGGGGCACGGCTCAAAAACTGTTTATTTGATATATGCATGTAGTGGTCCAGCATACATCGATCGATGCCCAATTGCCAAGCCAGAAAAGAGCAACAAAGTCCTGACAAGTCACGTGCCGCGAATTGACACCAAAATGGTGAAAAAACGGGGTGTGCAGAAAATGTCTTTTCTACGGCAATAAATGGCCGTTCTACGGTAGAAAATGTACTTTCTACGGCAGAAAATGCATTGTCTACGGGTTGTCTACGGTTTGTCCACGGTCCCTCTCGGTCGCAAGCAACGAGCAACGAGCTCAACAAATCTCGGTTGTACGACTCGACCTGATGTGAATATCCTGATTTTGCTATGACTCTTTGAAGCACCACTCAGGTGCTACTGAGGCCTTATTCGCAAAACGGTGCCTCCTTTGTTGCCGCATAAGGGTTAGTGCCAAAATGGGAGGATTGCCCAGTTCCACTGGGCAGCTCCCCTCAGCAGCTGATGGGAGTAGGATTGATGCCACTCCCACAGCGAGGGAGGAATCCTCCCACCTCACCGGATGCCCTCCCGGCATCATGGGTGAGGAAGGAAAGTAGCGAAGATCAGCTTGATCAATTCGCTTTCGACTGAGGGGAAGACCCGGTTCTCAGTCGGAAATTGCGGGTCCGGATGAGTAAGTTCATCCGCCCATGTGTTAAAGTCGCGCTTCACATGCGACGGTCCTAACATGACCTGGTGGTCATGCAGTGTTAACACAATTTCCATGAGGATGGCCGCATTGGGCATCCTGCGAGTGGAATCGTTAAGCAGGGAGAAAACGTTTCCCTGGTTATCACTAGCAACCAGAATCCTAGTGTGAGAAGCCGAGCCGGCTGCACAAAGCAGAACAGCCCTCACCAAAAGGAGGAGGCCGAAGAGCTCCAAGGCCGCTATCGCCCGCTGCGGGTCCCCAGTAGTGAAGGCCCACGGCTCGCCCTCCGGTGTGATTCTGTGTTGGAACCACTTCACTCGGGACTTGTCGGGGTTGGGCACGTCCGAGCACCAACCACCAACCCATGCATGGTCCGCCTGTTTGCCAGCTCCCGCATCAGATGCCCCCGTCCATGGAAGTGTGGGAGCAAATGGAGATGCCAGTGGGAACCTCTGGTTGAAGAGCTTCCCCAGAAGGATGGCCAGAGCACGAACCAGCTTCGGTGGCCTGCCCGAAGTGGTGCAGGCCTTCTTCCAGCTCCAAAAGGGCTGGAGGAAAGGTTTCGTCAATGGACACGCCGAAGTAGCCCATTGAATCCGGCCCAGGGCTTGTTCCACCTCCTTGCTGGTAAAGATGTCCCCCTGGGCCAGCCGTTTGAGAGTGGCCAGGATTATGACGTGCTTGACTGGAGCCAGCAGCACACAGGGCGTGATTGGGTCCACCACGAATCCCAACCAGGTATTGACCGGGGAGAGCGCCGTCTTCTTCCAAGAAAGCGGGACTCCCAGCGCCAGAAGAGTGGCCAGGATGGCTGTGGCGTCCCAGTCCGCCCTGCTGCATCTGAGGACCCAGCAGTAGTCGTCCACAAAAACTAAGTGCCAGTCCACCTGAGGGAAGATGTAGTACAAGAGTCTGAGCACCAAGGATGCCTTTCTTCCCCAGTACAGTTGTGCCGAGGCCATGCCGTACGTGCCCACTCTATTGACCCACCACCGGTTCTGGATGCAGGCCACCTGGTATTTCCAGTCTTTCTGGAGCACTTTTATGCGCCTGTGGGCCTTGGTGACATCCGCCTTGAGGATGATGAAGGTTTCCCCCTGTGTCGGCGGCTGCCACGTCAGGGGTTCCCCCCTGCTCCCCCCAGGGCGTTCCGTGCCTGGGGGGGTTGGGGGGAATGGGGCCCTCCTATCAGGGCCCTCGGCACCTGGGAGTGGCCCCTTCCCTGAGGGTGTTGACCGCGGAGAGACGTCCAGGCCGCCGGAGGTCTCCATCATCCGCCTGCCCCTATCAGGGCCCTCGGCACCTGGGGGCAGGCTGGTGCTGTGGGGGTCCCTCTCAGGGCCCTCGGCACCTGGGGACTGCCCCTGCACCGGCTGGTGAACATCCCGAGGTTCCTCATCAGTGCCCGAGGATGGGGCTCGGAGTAGATGAGGATGGTCCGCCGCTGTCCTGAGCCAGTGGATGGCATGGAGGCAGTCTCCAACCATCGGTGCGGTGGTCTTCTCCTCCGTGTGAGCCTGGATGTGTGCGTTTGCTCCCCCTTTTGAGCCATCATAGATCGTCCTGATCTTGTCCGACTCATCAATCCCTGCAAGGGGGCCCGGGCAAAGTTCCTCCGGTTTGCAGCGGCACCTCTCTGCCGCCTCGGAGCGAGTGAAGGGACCGTCCACCATGTCCAAGGCTCGTTCCTCGTAAAAGGTTGATTCGATTTCCTTGGCAAAGAGTTCAGCCGTTGGGTAGTTATCATGAGCCACTGGCGGGGGGGGATCTTCCCCCAGCCATGCCTCTCCCTTGAGCTCCTCCTTAGTGGGCCAAACTCCCGGGGAGGTCAAGGTAGGGTCCGAGACTCCCAAGGGGACCCCCTCTTTCAGTGTCAGGGGGAACTCCCAATCAGGGTCACCTGAAAGGGATGCCAAGTGCGACACTAAGTCCAGGAGGAAGGGTTGTCCTGGGCATCGTTCATGGAGGTGCCTCGGTCCTAGGATAGCCCGCAGCTCCTCGAGCCGTGGGACTTGTCAGGGGGGTAGCTGAAAAGCGTTGGCCCCCTTCATTCAGCCCAACAGAACTCTTATGAAAAACCACCGGGTCCTGCTTGATGATGTTGGGCGCCGGAAGTGGGACCGGCTGCCTCCTGGGCGTGTTCCTCGGCGTTGCGGTGTGCTGCCAGTTGTCCGGCACTCGGGCCTGCTGGGCGCGGCCCCCCGTGTCAGGGCCCTTGGCACCTGCGGGGAACCGTCCCGCCCCTGCCATCTCAGGGCCCTCGGCACCTGTGGCACGGGGCCGCGGCGTTGCCGTTGTGTCAGCTGTGTGGTTGTTCTGACCCCAGCTGGGGTGTTGTGCACGCTGGTTCTGTCGTCCCCATCCTTGTTCCGCCGAGGAGGGCCGCCGCCTGGCCTGTCCCCCCCCTGTGTCAGGGCCCTCGGCACCTGCAGGAGGGGGCTCATGTGCCTGCTTGGGGCGTTTTCGCCCCCTCTCGCCCCCCCGGGCCCTATCAGGGCCCTCGGCACCTGAGGCCTCCCGGGGGGTCGGGGTCCGAGCCCCTAGTCAACCCGGGCAGTCCTGCGGGAGGTGGTCTCCCAGGCAGATGCGGCCCGTCGCCAGGATGAGGTTGCACTTGTGCGTGCGTCCGCAGTTGCCCGGGCAGCGCCCGCGCATCCAGTTGTTACAGAACTGGTTCCCTTTCGGATCGGTGGCCGCCTGCTTGTTACTGCCCCTGGAGGCCTGATTGTTCGGCTGGGGGGGCTTACCTTTCCCTTTGCTCCCAGGCTTGCCCCTGGACTTCCCCTTGCCCCTGGACTTGTTCTTGCCCTTCTGGGGTGGTGCGTAGTCCATGGATGTCCTGGTCTGTGGGCGGCCCCTGGAGAAGGTCCTGATCTTCTCATAGACCTCACGTGTCCAAAACAATGTGTCCTGCCTTACCGACAGCATGGCCGCCTTGAGGGTGCTGCCCTCATGCATCTGCTCGTGAATCTTCCGCCATGCATTGCGTTCGGCAATTGCCAGGACGTGGTCCTCGGGAGGGGGAAAACGGCCCCCGATGTCCTCCCCATAGAACCACTCATACCAGCTCTCCAGGTCCTCTCGGGTGATGTCGAACTGGCCGAACTGTGGAAACGATAGGACGCACATGAGGAGGGTGTTCCGGAACACCGCGTGCATCCTCTCGAGCTGGTGGCGAGTTTTCGGCTCGCCCCGCTCTTCCACCTCGTCCTCCCGGTCCCAGCCATCGACCGTGGTCTTCTTGGCGGTCTTCCATGGCCGTTCTCCTGGTTCCGGGAGTGCGCTTACCAGGTATTTCATGGGGATGAAGCCGATCTCGCCTCCAGCGCAGAGCTTGAACTGGCGCTTCATCAGCTGGTCGCTTCCTTGCAGGGCCAACTTGGGTTTGGTGAGTTTGGTCTTCTCCTCCCAAACCCTCTCCAGCTGCCCCCGTTCGCACGAGACCGTGAGATTCGGGGCAGTGTCCCCGGGCGTGTGCGGCCCGGGTCCCGATGTTGCATGTGCCCCCACTCCCATGGATCGTTGAGCCGCGTGAACCACCTGGAACATCCGGGCCGCGATCAGCCGGGAGGTCACATCCGTGTAGTGGTTGTTGTTGGGGGCGAAGCCCAACTCCCTCGGCGCCGTCTCCCTTGCCCGGTCGGGCGAGTCCCACCGGGTCGCGAGGTCCTCCATCGAGACAAAGCCCTCATCCGACAGCGTCGCTTGGATGAACCACG